TGCTTGGTTTCTTAAAGGAATATGATTTGTATTTTATGTTGTGTAGAGTTTAGATAAACAATCTGAATTTGTGCAAACCTAATAAACATCATCACCTTAAACGAAATAAGGTGAATACCTCTCATAATAAACATTGTCTCCTGAAGATAGCATTTCATTAGGCCCCCAAAATAAATACACCGGTAAAGATTCTGTCTCATTCACCATTTTATGGATCGAGAGAACGTTATAAAAGAAGCAATTATAGTAGTCTGAAAGTATATTTTTTGATCAATGATACTTAATGCATGTAAAAGATAAGCTTTAAAAGTTCTAAAGACAAAAATAAATGGAACCGGGAGAATGTCATTGTGAAGAAACATAAAAATACCCTGAATGTCTATGAAAATAAATAGAAGCTATACAGAACGAGGCATTATGTGGTGAAACAAATGAAGTATTATTTCATTAAATATAATATAATCTAAATTTATGAAAATTCAATACAAAAAAGGCACATACAGGGCATAAATTTGGACTTTCCTTATCTTGGTTACAATAGGTTCTACGCATCTTACTTGAGGTAAATAAGAGGGCAACTTAAAAGATAAAAAAATCATGTATGATAATAAAAATGCTTATAAACACAGCATAAGAATGGCTAGTTTTGTATTCAAGTTCATCAAGTGCTCTTATCTCATACTTATGCTCACCTTATAAGCATAGCCCTGATTCATTAAAAAGCGTTGTCGCTTAAGAGCGTACTGCATTTCACAAGTATCCTGCGAGACCAAGGAGTAAAAGAAAGCGTTGTAGACGTCAGCATCCATACCCCGCTTAGCACGTAGAATCCGACCCAATCGTTGGGCCTCTTGACGCCGACTGCCACCATGCATGCTTACCTGTATTAAAACCGTGGCTTCTGGTAAATCAAACGAGTTATCTGCAACCTTTGAAACGAAGATCGCAGGAACCTTAAACCAGAGGAGAGATGGAATTAAAAATCAAGTAAGATTGGGATTAAAGGAATCATATTCTATCCAGTTGCAATCTAGATTCCTTTGCACCCAAGAGCTCACACATGTGCTCATAGCGAAGTGCATAGGATGTTTGATGTATTGGTTTGTATTATAG